GCATGTCATTGTTTGGGTGCTTGTTTTAGTCCGTGAAGTGACTTAACAAGTCGACACACCTTATTTTCTTTTCCAGGAACCACGAACCCTTCAGGTTGTTCCATTTAAATTTCTTCCTCCAAATCTCCATTTAAGAAGGTTGTCTTTAAGTCCATCTGATGGATTTCAAGGCCATACACAGTAGCTAACGCTATTATCATCCAAATAGATGTAATTCTCGTTACCGGTGAGTATGTGTCAAAGTAATCAAGACCTTTTCGTTGTCTTAATCCTTTGACAATTAATCTTGCCTTATATTTGTCAATAGTACTATCAACTTTCATTTTCCTTCTGAAAATTAACTTAGAACCCAAAGGTTTATTTTCTGGAGGAAGATCAACCAATTACCAAGTACGATTACTTAATATGGATAATATCTTACTATTGACTACCTCTTTCTAACATTGTGCTTTCGAGCAAGACATTGCTTCTTTAAATATTTGAGGCTCACTTTCCAACAAGAATGTCAGAAAATCTAGTCCAAAGAAAGTAGTTGTCCTTTAACGTTTACTATGTCTTGGATTCACCTCATTAGGTGTACTTTCCTTTTCTTCTTCCCGAGGTCGCTTAGATATTTCACTAGACAACTCACATTCCTTTTTATACGGATAAATATTCTCAAAGAATTCAGCATTATCTGATTCGATTACCGTATTAATGTGAATATCGGAATTTTCTGATTTATGAACCAGAAAATGATATGCCTTACTATTTGTTGCATATCTTATGAAAATGGAATCAACGGTTCTCGATCCGATTTTTATCCTTTTGGGTTTAAGAACTTGCACTTTACCCAAATACACTCCACACTTGGAAATATTTCAAGTTGGGTTTTCTTCCTTTCCATTTTTCATATGGAATGGATTGTGTCTTGCTATGGGGAACACGAATGAGTATTCGGTTAGCTGTAAGTATAGCTTACCCCCACAAGTTTTGGCTAAACCAGAACTTATCAACTAGGCATTCATCGTCTCCTTTGACGTTCTATTCTTTCTTTCCGCAATTTCATTATATTGCGGTGACTAAGGGGCTGTCGTTTGGTGAATAATTTTATATTCCAACCATATTTCTTCAAAAGGAGATTCATATTCGCCGCCCCTATTACGTTATAGAGCCAATCACAAGAACTGTTGTTTGTGTCNTGTAGAGCCAACCACAAGAACTGTTGTTTGTGTCACGACAGTGCCAGAATTAATAAATGGTGAAGTTTTTAATCTTCAAACCAATCTGACACATTCAAAATTAATAAACGGTGAAATTTTTAATCTTCAAACCGAGTAACATCTAATACAACTAGATCTAATAAACGGTGAAATTTTTTTAATCTTCAAACCGAGTATATGTGACACAATCAAATTTAATAAACGTTGAAGTTTTTAATCTTCAAACCGAATAATAAATCAGAGTAGAAAATCACTAAGATTTTAATCTCGAAGCAAGAATAGAAAATCACAAAGATTTTATTCTCCATAACATGAATAGAAAATCATGAGGATTTTATTCTCCAAAATAGGAGTCGAAAATCACAAATATTTTAAATTTTCTTTCAAATGGCTTCCCAACTAAACCATTATAACACTTAAATATTTTGATCTTTTACTCTGATCAAGCAAATATACGTACATTCCTACATATTATATTCCAAACCATGTATATGGAATTTCTCCAGACCTTGTCTCAGGGATGAAATTAGTGAAATGCCAATGGCCATTACCAGAAACCAATTAAAATTCATGGCAGATTATTTCATTCACAATTCGCAAGGCCATGTACGTAAGGTGCAAACAGGAGAAGCGAATAGTTCTCTGGAGCAGACAAGTAATAAAAATCTTTACCAAACCATTGGGTATATGTGTGGTCCTCCCCGACGGAAGCATTGGAATATTAAGAAACACCATGAAATGGAAACTGCACTCACATAAGTTATCCAACTTCATGCCTATGGCTACAATCGATAAGGAAGAATTGATCATTCAATCTTTCTTTTCTCATATTCTCAAGTTTTAACAATTGAAATATATCAAATTCAATTCTGTAACCAAACCGCAAAGCACATGGCAATATCTTAGTACGAATAGTACCAAGACATATTCTTGTAGATAAATATAACAGATAGCTCAACTTCTCTGAACAATTGAACATGTTTCTGCTATAACAAGTAAGCACCACTTGATTATCATTTTCTTATGTCTTTCCAATAACATAATCATTAAAACATACCATGGTGATACTAATCATAAGAATGGCAGTAACCTACTGCCTTTGTATTTCTGAGTTCAAAGCCAGACATAGAAATACTTTGTATCAAGTAATCAAACCAGTAAGACCACATGCCACATAAGTTTAAAAATTGTTTATCTATGAATGTTCAATTAAATGTACCCACAACATGAAAGGCATAGAAAGAGAAGAAGAATGGGTTTACGGTGGCCTCTTCATGAGCGAATGCACAATTCTCTCTTTAAATGGAGAACAATATTATTCAAAGTGAGTGGATTCCAGAATACTTGGAATGGATTTTCAAACTGGCCAACCTTTGCAAATAATTTCATGAATTAATGATTTAATGTAGTAACAAGTTTGGCAGTGTTTGTTTTCATCAAAGTGACGCAGCACTTGCATCACCGCCTACCTTCAAAAGACATTAATTAACTTTCGCAATAGTGACACTGAGCCAACAGACGCATCGTCTAGGCAAAAAGAGGTCATTTTGAAATCGAGTCACTTCTATTAAAAGATGAACACAAAAAAATATTAAATTCCTTAAGATTGTTGGTAATCTGTGTTCAAAATCATAAAAAACATGTAAAGTAAAAGAGAAACAGAAATGCATAGGAAGAACAAAATTAAATCCGAGCCCACTGAATTCACAGTGTGTCCTTAAATAATTTAATCCCCTCACTGTTGCCCAAGGTATACGGATTAATTCTTCCCAAGATAGAACGGAATAACTATTCTGTGATAGCGGCACTTCAAATCACAGAACTTCAACGAACTCAACAAACGGAGCAAATCACACTTGACACTTATGTTTATTTAGAAAATAATGCAACAATATAGGAAAGAGGGGAGAAGATTTCAGATTTTCCATATCTAAAAATGAGGCCAAGCCTCTAAATTTATAGATAAAGGAAGAGTGAGATGGAGAGGTGCAATCCAAAAGGTGCCTCTTCCATTTCCCATTCATACCATTTAAAGAAAAAACGTAACAGCTCTATATTATGGCCTTTTGGATCATGTTCGGTCAGCTGAGTGCGCTCCATTTGATGGCAATAGGCTTCGGTCCGGTCAGTAGGGGATGATGCGGGCACTACTCAGGCCATTCGAGCTAGCTCGAGTGGCTGGTGTTGTGTGGCTCAGGGTAGCGTGGTTCGCGTGTACGATTGGATGCTTGAAGAGCACCCCGCAATCAATCTTGATTACCATAAGGTGAATGATGTTTGTTAGGTTGATTCTGAAAATATTGTGGCTAGTTTTGATAGAAAATTAGCTAGTGGAAGCATAGGGTTATTCAACTAAAAGTTGTTGAATGTACAAGTCAACAAATTGGTGAAATTTTGAAGTCTATGGTTTTGGACAATGTTATTAAAGAGCCGAAGAACAATGGGTTGGGAGAGTATCGTTCTATTCCTGTTGGAACAGTTTGTTATCGAGTAACTCTATCAACCAGTGGTTCGAAAAATGCCAACTAGGAAAAATAGGTTCAATTCCTTGTGGTGCTTGTCCTATGATTAGTCAGTGTATACCAGATGGAATTATATCACCACAAACCTGTGTCTACTACACTAACTGGTTGAACTTAGAATTTTGATGTACCTATCCATAATATTTCAATAGGATTCAAGCTAAGTTAATATTTTACTTATTCAATCTTTGACTCATGGGAAAAAATATCGAAATTCAAATCAACGGTCCAGTTATAAGTTAATATTTTACTTATTCAATCTTTGACTCATGGGAAAAAATATCGAAATTCAAATCAACGGTCCAGTTATAAGTTAATATTTTACTTATTCAATCTTTGACTCCGAATATGGGAAAAAATATCGAAATTCAAATCAATGGTCCAGTTACAAGTTAATATTTTATTTATTCAATCTTTGACTCATAATATGGGGAAAAATATCGAAATTCAAATCAATGGTCCAGTTACAAGTTAATATTTTATTTATTCAATCTTTGACTCATAATATGGGGAAAAATATCGAAATTCAAGTCAATGATCCAATTACAAGTTAATATTTTACTTATTCAATATTTGACTCAAAATATGGGGAAAAATATCGAAATTCAAATCAATGGTTCAATTACAAGTTAATATTTTATTTATTCAATCTTTGACTCATAATATGAGGGAAAATATCAAATTTCAAATCAATGGTCCAATTACAAGTTAAGTAATTAAGCATAGGTGAATAACTGCATAAAAAATAATGTTTCTTTATCAATACATATTGAAATCTGAAATCAGTAAAAACTTACTCATGTTTATATCAAGCCAACAAATGCATGATATATTCATACACATATTTTTATTTATCAATTTTAAATTAAATTATTTGATTTGACGTACGAGTAAATATTCACATCAGAGCTGATTTCTGTAAAAACTGTCAGTATATATTGAAATTATTGCTATTGCACATATTCTACTGCTTTTGGACGATAAAACAATGTTTTTAGTTCGTTTTCTCTCTTACAGACCCATTATCCACAGATTAATCTTTCAATCTCCACTATATTTTCCACATTCATGTCCATTTTCATCATTCCAAATACAAAATTTTGATGAAGTCAACCTTATATACTACAAAGATTTGTTAAGCCCAAATGAGGTCATCAAAATTTTCCAAAATCTCAAAGACCCAAATTCAGCTCTAAATGTACTTAATCAAATCTCAAAACGAAAAGATTACAAACCCATTGAAGCCATTTATAGTGTAGTTGTCAAAAACCTAGCAATGGCTAAGTATTTTGATGCAATTGACACCCTTATGGAAACGATCAAATTTGAAAGGAAGTGTAGACTTTCTGATGATTTTTTCTATGATGTTATTAAGATTTATGGGCATTTAGCTGGTAGAATTAATAGAGCAATTGAGACCCTTTTTGATATGCCTAATTATAAGTGCTGGCCAAGTGTGAGAACTTTCAATTTTGTTCTGAATTTGTTAGTGAATACTAAACAATTTGATGTTGTTCATAAGGTGTATATTCGTGCTTCCGAATTGGGTGTGGAGATTGATGCCTGTTGTTTGAATATTATTGTCTATGTCTCTGGGACTCTCCAAAAATGTCGCTGGATGCGTGTTGGATCCTGCAAAAGTAGTGTATTTTTGGAGGATCCGACACGAGTGCGGCAGCATTTTAGAGAGTCCACGCAACATAGATTATCGTTAAGGGGTTGTGTCATTGCGGGGAGCTCGATGCTGCATATAAGGTGTTCGATGAATTTCCTAAGCAGGATTGTCAACCCAATGTGAGGACTTTTTCGACTATAATGCATGCTTTATGTGAGCGCGGTCACGTTGATGAGGCTTTGGGCTTGTTAGAGAGGATGGAAAAGGAGAATGTTGAACCGGATGCTATCGTGTTTAACACGTTGATTTCGGGGCTTAGGAAGCAACGTAGAGTTGACGAGGGGATTGAGATGTTCAAGAAAGTAATGCTGAAAGGTTGTGATCCGAATCCAGGGACATATCAGGAGGTGTTGTATGCTTTGCTTGATGCTAAGAGGTATTTAGAGGCTAAAGATTTTATGGATGTCATGATTGATAAGAGGGTGAATCCAAGTTTTGAGTCTTATAAGCTGTTGATACATGACCTTTGTAATGGGAAGCTTCTTGGCGATTTAGACTGGGCGTTGAGGCAGATGGTGAGACACGGATTTGTGCCGAGGATGGGTCTGTGGAGGCAGATTCTTGGTTGCTTGTTTCCTCGTGATGGAGATTGTTGTACTGCCTAGTCATATGAAGAAATTCTTGCGGACTAATCTACGAGGTTTAGAAAATTAACTGAATGGTATTACAGATCCCATTACATGCTGTTAGAAGTATCACATTGGTTGCATGAATGGAATTTAGTCTATTTCTTTACATGGTATTAGACCCATGCGCCAGTTGGCAGGGTCTGGGCGTGCCGTAAAGGGGTNAAAGGTAAGTTTAACAGAGTGATGCTCAGGCCAACGATGTTGTATGGGGCTGAGTGTTGGCCAGGCAATATCGCTCATGTCCAGAAGATGAAGGTAGCAGAGATGAGGATGTTGAGATGGATGTGCGAGCACACCAAGTTAAATAGGATCAGAAATGAGGTTATTCGCGACAAGGTGAGTGTGGCCCCCTATTGAGGACAAGATGCGGGAAGCGCGACTTAGGTGATTTGGTCATGTGAAGAGGAGGAGCACAGACGCCCCGGTGAGGAGGTGTGAGAGATTGACATTGGAAGGCCTACGGAGAGGTAGACGTAGGCCAAAGAAGAGGTGGGGAGAGGTGATTAGGTAAGACATGACGCAACTTCAGCTGACCGAGGACTTGACCCTTGATAGGAAGGCATGGAGGTCGAGGATTAGGGTAGTAAAGTAGGTAGTCTAGAGTGTTAATAACATTAGTATTGGCACGCAGTCTCGCTTTCTGTTGGTAATAGATTTTTATGACTAACCGTTGTTTTCTTTTATTGTTGATCACCTTACTATCTTGTTGTCTTTATTCTGATTTTTTATGGCTTTTTGGTACTGTCCCTTCTTGTCTATATTTTTATTAATGTGGTGCTCATGTTTTCCTGAGCCGAAGGTCTATTGGAAACAGCCTCTCTATCATCACATGGTAGGGGTAAGGCCTGCGTACACACTACCTTCCCTTGACCCCAGGGTGTGGGATAATACTGGGTATGTTGTTGTTGTTGTATAGGAATTTGGTCTCCTTATGTTTGTTTTAGGCATCCCTTATCTCATGAAATAGTTTTTGGGATTGATAGATCCAATATCCATTTCTTATCACTCCTACAGCTTCTGAATTCAAAATTTTCATTCCAAGTGAAAGGACAAGATGACGCACTACCACCATGGTCGTTTAGCACCACCACTATCACCACCATAAGTTGCCTTCTGGATATGAAACTTTTCAAGGATTTGCCAACTATATATCCTCTTCCATCGGCTTTAGGGTTCCTTCAGCTTGGCAATGCGAAACCTTCGACCAGTGTCAGGTATTCCTCCAACTCATCGCTCTTAGAAACATCATGCTAATAATTTCTTTAACTTGATCGTGATAACTAGCACAATGAAAGTTTAAATTCGCATCGCAATATCGCATAGGCTCATTATTTAAAATAACAATACAATATAGTATATTTGTAACAACTATCTAAACAAGTTCTAAAGGATGAAGCTCTCCTTACTAGGGGTTTTTCCATTTCTAGGGCTCGAACTCGAGATATCTGGTTAATGTTGGAGGGATCTCATTCGTCGCACCACACCCCGTTGTGGTCATTACTCCTCATGTTGAATTTGAGCGAATAATCTTTTTTAAAAGTATAAAATATTACGGAAGAGACTCTTTAATTTATTTATTCAATTCTTACATTCTGCATGAATCTTTAAGTACGTAAATTGATGGTGAGATTTGAACTCATCATCTCCAACTGCTTTGATCCGCTTCATCTAAAAATTTAAACTCTTGAAAAAGAGACACCTATATTCATTTGAGTATATATTAATTACATCGATCTCACAATGAACAATAGTAATACTGTTTGGAAGTCGAAACACTAAATCCTCTGACTATAATTTTTGAATTATTTTTTCATATGAATTATTTATAATTTTTGTCACTTTCTATTAATTTATGATTCCAATATTTTTTTTTTTCAAAGTTAAGAAATCATGCTAGAAGAAACAATTAGATGGATCCACCCTATACATACTCCGAAGATCATGCCTTTTGGGGATATATGAAGGTCGCCTTAATTCCGAGTCTTGTTGTAAATGTTATTCTACTTATGTTTGACCTATTATTATTGTAAGAAAATCAAGTATGACACCCAACTTACATCCTAGAGTTAATATTGTTGGTTTTTTTTAAAGCTTAAATGTAGTTTAAAAGAGGGTGAATGGGAAATGGAGGGAAATTGAAAATATTTGAGTTTCCCTCCTTGACAAAGGGACATTGTCCCATATTGGAAGAGAAAAAAGTTTTGATGGGTATATACACAATTGCACTTCTTCTAGCTCTTAAAGAGTTAAGAAGAAGGCAAGCCTCGCGCCGTCGTCGTTGTCACTCGCTCGGCTTGGCTACGGCTACGGCTACGGCTACGGATTTGGTTAAATGATCGATTAATTGATTAATTTTTTGGACCAAATTTATTTGTTAATAGTAAATATTAACATATCCGTTTTTTTAAACGAAAAATTAATATTAAATCCAACGGAATAGTATATGCCCTTTGTTTTTTTGTAAAAGCTATTTAACTTATGGTCGTTTTACACAAACAACCCTTCTGAAGAGTTGCACCTCTTCAGTTTTGAAGAGTTGTACCTCTTCACTTTGAGCTCAACATTGGCTATAAATACTAGTCCATTCTCTCAGATTTTCCATACAAACTTCTGACTTCTCCTCCTTTCTTCTACATTGTTTTAACTACAAAGAAAGCAGCAGTAAGTGTGATTTGCTACCGATCTTTATGTTCGCTGAAACACTGAGGTTTGAAGTATCGCTATACCAGTGTGTAATTCGTTCTATCATGGGAGGAAATAATCCATAACCTTGGATACTTGGAGGGGATTAAATTCCTTAAGGAAACACTGTGAATTCAGTGGGCTCGGATTAAATTCGTTTTCTTTAACATTTCTGTTTATATGTTATTTTATCTTCTCCAGAATTATTTTACAAATACAGAATAATAACAAGTTTAAGGAATTTAATATTTTTTGTATTTGTGTTATATTCACTGTTTCTGGAAACTAAAATCTGTGTGGTTTTCTACTCTAGTGGAGATTAAAATCTACGTGATTTTAATGTTTGTTTGTGTCATTCTTTTACAAAAATGACGAATGACAACGGGAACCAGACTGTTCCTATGGTGAGTGTCAATGCATCGACAAGCCGAACAACATCGGCATTGGCACCAACAGAAAAATCCGAAAAAATTTTCGGGATTGATTTCAATCGGTGGCAGTAGAAGATGTTCTTCTACTTGACGACTTTAAGTCTGCTGAAGTTCATTAAGGAAGATGTTCATGTTCTGCCCGACGAAACTCCAAAAAATGAATGCTTTCTCGTGACTAAGTCGCGGAAGCATTCTAATTTTCTATGCAAGAATTACATTCTTAGCGGACTAAAGGACGATCTGTATAACGTCTATAGTAATATGGAGACGTCAAAACAACTGTGGATAGCGCTTGAAAGGAAATACAAAACAGAAGATGCCGGGTTAAAGAAATTCGTTGCCGCTAAACTTTTGGACTATAAAATGGTAGATAGCAAGTCTGTTATTACCCAAGTCCAGGAATTGCAAGTGATTATTCACGATCTCCTTGCTGAAGGTATAAGTCAAATTAATACTAATGTTGAAAATATTAATTATATTATTTCTACTAACAGAATTTTCATTGAAGGTCTTGTCATCAATGAAGTATTCCAAGTTGCAGCAATGATTGAGAAGTTGCCTCATTTGTGGAAGGACTTCAAAAATACTTGAAACATAAACAGAAGGAGATGTCCCTTGAAGATCTCATTGTTCGGTTGAGAATCGAAGAGAACAACAAAGCTGCTGAAAAGAAAGGCCGTGGAAACTCAACAATAATGGGAGCAAACATTGTTGAGGATAGAAAGAGGAAGAAGGCCTATGGACCGAAAAGCAACCCAAGCAAGAAGCGGTTCAACGGAAATTTCTACAACTATGAAAAAAACTGGACATAGATCTACAGATTGTTATGCTCCAAAGAAAGATAAGAAGAAGGGTCAAGCAAACATGGTTGAAAAGCACGAAGATGTTGATGACTTGTGTGCTATGTTTTCTGAATGCAACCTGGTGGGAAATCCTAAGAGTGGTGGATTGATTCTGGAGCCACTCGCCATGTTTGTGTTGTTAGAGAAGCGTTTGTTATATATGCTCTTGTTGGACCCGAAGAGATACTTTCTATGGGAAATTCTGCAATGGCCAAAATTGAAGGATATGAGAAGATATTTATGAAAATGACTTCTAGTAAGGTGGTTTCGGAAACAACCTCTCTACTCCTTCGGGGTAAGGGTAAGGTCTGCGTACACACTACCCTCCTCAGACCCCATTAGTGGGATTTTACTGGGTTGTTGTTATTGTACTTCTAGTAAGGTGGTGACTTTGAACAACGTCCTTCATGTTCCCGAGATTAGAAAGAACTTAGTCTCTGCTGGACTTCTTGTTAAGAATGGGTTTAAGTGTATTTTTGTATCCGATAAGGTTATAATAAGTAAGAATGAGATGTCTGTAGAAAAAGGTTACCTCACTGAGGGCCTTTTCAAGCTGAATGTAATGATTGTTGAGAATAATAATAAAATTTCAGCTTCTTCTTACTTACTTGAGTCAAATGAATTATGGCATATACGTTTGATTCATGTCAATTATAAAACCTTGCGGAAAAAAATTAATTTGGAAGTATTGCCTATGTTTGAATGCGACAAATCAAAATGTCAAATATGTGTGGAATCTAAATATGTTAAACATCCTTATAAGTCAGTTGAAAGGAATTTAAATCCTTTAGACTTAATTCACGCAGATATTTGCGATATGAAGTCAATACCATCTCGCGGTGGAAAGAAGTATTTCATAACTTTTATTGATGACAATACTCGATATTGCTAGATGAAGCAATAGACGCATTCAGGCAATACAAAAATGAAGTTGAAACGCAACTTAACAAGAAAATCAAAATGATAAGATGTGATAGGGGTGGTGAATATGAATCTTCTTTTGAAGGAATATATTTAGAATATGGAATTATTCATCAAACAACGGTCCCTTACACGCCCCAATCCAATGGGATTGCGGAAAGAAAGAATCGTTCATTAAAAGAAATGATGAACGCATTGTTGATAAGTTCTGGTTTGCCACAGAAATTGTGGGGGGAAGTCGTTCTTATGGCTAACCGGATACTAAATCGAGTACCCCATAGCAAAACACATCCATTCCATATGAAAAATAAAAAGGAAGGAAGCCCAACTTGAATTATTTTAAAGTGTGGGGGTGTTTGGCAAAAGTACAAGTTCCTAAACCCAAAAGATTAAAAATAGGACTGAAAACCATTGATTGTGTTTTCATAGGATATGCGACCAATAGTAAAGCATATCGATTTCTGGTTCATAAATCAGAAAATCCCGACATTCATAATAATACGGTTATAGAATCAGATAATGCTGAGTTTTTTGAAAATATATACCCGTATAAAAAGAAATGTGAGTCGATTGGTGAAGGATCTAAACGACCTCGGGAAAAAACAAAAGAAAGTACATTTAATCAGGAGGATCCAAGACGTAGTAAACACCAAAGAATGTCTACTTTATTTGGACCATATTTTATGACTTTCTTATTGGAAAATGAGCCTCGAACATTTAAAGGAGTTGTGTCTTCTTCGGAATCATTATTTTGGAAAGAGCCAGTCAATAGTGAAATAGAATCCATATTGAACAACTATACATAGGAATTGGTTGATCTTCCTCCTGGAAATAAACCTTTGGGTTCTAAATGGATTTTTAAGAAGAAAATAAAAAATGATGACACTATTGATAAATATAAGGCAAGACTTGTAGTCAAAGGGTATAGATAGCGAGAAGATCTTGATTATTTTGATACATACTCTCCAGTTACAAGAATTACGTCCATACGAATGTTAGTAGCATTGGCTGCAGTTTATGGTCTTGAAATTCATCAAATGGACGTTAAGACGACCTTCTTAAATGGAGATTTGGGGAAAAAAATCTATATGGAACAACCTAAAGGGTTTGTGATTCCAGGTAAAGAAAAGAAGGTATGTAGACTTGTTAAGTCCCTTTACGGACTAAAACAAGCACCCAAACAATGGCATGCGAAATTTCACCAAACAATATTGTCAAATGGTTTTAAGATAAATGAATGTGATAAATGTGTGTACATTAAAAATATTCCAAATCACATAGTCATTGTTTGCTTATATGTGGATGATATGCTGATAATGAGTAATGACATTGCCAACATAAATGTGACTAAGCGTATGCTAACTAGTAAGTTTGATATGAAGGACTTGGGGGTTGCTGATTTAATTCTGGGGATTAAGATCCATAAGACTTCTCAAGGTCTGACATTGTCACAATCTCATTATATTAAGACAGTACTTGGAAAATTGAAGCACTTGGGGTTTAAAGTTGCAAAGACTCCAATTGACGTAAATCTTGCATTAGCAAAGAATAAAGGCCAAAGCATATCACAATTGGATTATGCTCGCGTGTTGGGATGCTTAATGTATTTCATGAATTGTACACGACCAGATATAGCTTGTGCTATAAGTAAATTGAGCCGATACACGTGCAATCCAGATCAATCTCATTGGATGGCAATGAAACGAGTTTTGGGATATTTAGAACATACCCAGGACTTTGCTTTGCACTACAGTAAATATCCTGCGATGAATGATGAATACTGTGATGCAAATTGGATCACCGATTTAACTGATTCTAAGTCCACAAGTGGATATGTATTCACTATTGGTGGAGGAGCAGTATTTTGGAAGTTGTCCAAGCAAGCTTGTATTGCCCGCTCTACAATGAAGGCTGAGTTCATAGCCTTAGATAAAGCCGGTAAAGAAGCTGAATGACTCCGAAATTTCTTGGAAGACATTCCATTTTGGCCCAAACCGTTGGCACCAATATGCATACATTGCGATAGTCAAGCGGCAATTGGAAGGGCTGTGAGCGTGATGTATAACGGTAAATCTCTTCATATACGACGAAGACATAAAACATTAGGCAATTACTCTCTAGAGGAATTATCACGATTGACTATGTAAAGTCAAGCGATAATGTATCGGATCCACTTAAAAAGGCCTAACTAGAGAGGTAGTTGAGAAATTATCGAGGAAAATGAGACTATGGCCGAGAACAAGCCATTGTGGCAGTAACTCTACCTAGAAGACTGGAGATCCCAACATCTAGGTTCAACGAGATCAAACAAAGTCATTAATGACGGTTTAACATTGTCAACTAAAAGTTTGGTCCATTCTCGTGATGAGACAATGTTCAGTACCAAGGATAAAGCATTAAGGCTTTTTAATGATTTCTAAATTTGATACGGGGTATATCAAATAGTGTATCTACGGGATGACACGTTTAGGAATCACCTATGTAAGCGTGAAGTGTTAGCCGCTTCAAGGAGAATTTTGTAAGGCCAATTCTCTACACACTTATAAAACCAAGCGGTGTTCATGGCTGAAACGAACACAACAATGAGAGCCAAAGACGGTTAAGGGTTGGTTGTGTGACTTATGGTTGTCTAGGTATACACCAAAGTTTGACGGTTCAAAGATATCAAATCTATCGATTGACCGAGTATATCCGACATAAGTTCACTACGGAAAGTTCAAAGGGAAACCTACTTATCCAGATGCAATTAATCCTTGCTTGCGAATCACACAGTTTTTCATGCATATTTTCGGATATAGCCATTCCCCATTCATGTGGGGGATTGTTGGATTTTTTTTAAGCTTAAATGTAGCTTAAAAGAGGGTAAATGGGAAATGGAGGGAAATTAAAAATATTTGAGTTTTCCTCCTTGACAAAGGGACATTGTTCTATATTGGAAGAGAAAAATATTTTGATGGGTATATATACAATAACACTTCTTCTAGCTCTTAAAGAGTCAAGAAGAAGGCAAGCCTCACGCCGTCGTCGTCGTCGCTCGCTCGGCTCGGCTTTGGCTTCGGCTTCGGATTCGAATTTGGTCAAATGATCGATGAATTGGTTAATTTTTTGGACCAAATTTATTTGTTAATAGTGAATATTAACATATCCGTTTTTTTAAATGAAAAATTAATATTAAATCCAACGGAATAGTATATGCCCTTTGTTTTTTGTAAAAGCCATTTAACTTATGGCCGTTTTACACAAACATCCCTTCTGAAGAGTTGCACCTCTTCAGTTTTGAAGAGTTGTACCTCTTCAGTTTGAGCTCAACATTGGCTATAAATACCAGTCCATTCTCTCAGATTTTCCATACGAATTTCTGACTTCTCCTCCTTTCTTCTGCATTGTTTTAACTATAAAGAAAATAACAGTAAGTGTGATTTGCTACCGATCTTTGTGTTCGCTGAAACACTGGGGTTTGAAGTATCGCTACACAAGTGTGTAGTTCGTTCTATCCTGGGAGGAAATAATCCATAACCTTGGGTACTAGGAGGGGATTAAATTTCTTAAGGAAACACTGTAAATTCAGTGGGCACGGATTAAATTCTGTTTCTTTTACATTTCTGTTTATATGTTATTTTATTTTCTTCAAAATTATTTTACAAATACAGAATAATAACAAATACACAGTTCTTGTAGTATATGACGCGTTATGGCATTCCATTCTCTTTTAACTTGCGCTTAATCAAGAACACGCGACACGTCACCATTCTCTTTTAAGCGTTATACATACTTGAAGTTATCATATAGTTCAAATAAATAAGATAAATACTTTGGGAAGCAAATCATAAAAAAAAAATGTAAATTAAAAAATTTAAGAGGATACTTTAAATTGCCACGTGGTCTCCCCTCAATCATACATTGGTTTACTAATGACAGTACATTCGCATATACCATAAAGTCAACAGAGACTTGTTGATTGTATGCTCAAACCAAATTGACGGCATTCCCCAATACAACTTCAAAATTGACAATGTTATATATTATTAATAGTATCTAATGAATATGATCATTGCTTTGCCTCATCAATTCTTGTTTAATAGCTATGGGCAGAAGTTGCAATCTTCTCTTTGGTCTTGCTGTTTTCATTCTGCTTCATTACCATACTTCACTGGCTATTGTTCCCAATATTAGCACTGATAAAGATGCACTTCTTGCCTTAAAATCTCACATTTCTTCTTCTGATCCTAATGATATCATAGCAAGCAACTGGTCGTCCTCCAGCTCGGTTTGCAGCTGGATTGGCATCACTTGTAGCTCGCGCCACAATAGAATCACAGCTTTAGACATTTCTAGCATGCAACTTTATGGTACCGTTCCTCCACACGTTGGAAACCTCTCATTTCTTGTTTCCCTTGACATCAGTAACAACAATTTCCACGGAGAGTTGCCAGAAGAGTTGTCTCATTTGCAGAGGTTGAAATTGATTATTGTCGAAAGCAATAATTTTACTGGTGTCATTCCATCATTCTTAGGTCTGTTACCAAACCTTCGCATTCTGCGCCTTTCGAGCAACCAATTTTATGGGAAAATTCCACCTTCCCTTTCCAATCTAACAAAACTACAAGGATTGGGCGTGGAGCGCAATTTTCTTGAAGGAGAGATCCCTCAAGAACTCGGTAATCTTCGTTACATGACTATCCTAGACCTACAACTAAACCAGCTTACTGGCTCTATACCACCATCAATCTTTAACATTACGACAATGCGAATCATTACTCTTTTCAAAAACAATCTTGCTGGTAATCTTCCAACAACTATATGTGAAAATCTTCCAAACTTGGAAGTTCT